TTACCACATGAATTCGGCAATTCATCAAATAGCGATAGTAGTGGATGCTCTCGCGCTCATGTTCGGCTACCATCGCCCCAGTGGGATTTATAATGACCCCGGAAATATCCAACAGTCCAAGTCCAAAATCGGATGCTAAACGCGAACCTGTAACTGCATTATTCAGCATCATCTACTCAATGGACGACAATTCGGCCTATCGATAGGTCGTGATGGATTCTATCATATTTACTCGAGATTGCGTTCTTTTTGGATCCCGTTGTTTTCGTGAAAACGCCCTTGGGTTGACAAGACAATGCGCCGATATAAACATTGCCCCTGGCTAAATGAGGACGGCTTGGGTGGGGGGAGGCTCACTAATAGCAACTCGTACATCGACACATCTCACCGTTTGCTTTGCGTGTCAGCTTTCCCTATACTCGTACGCATCTCGCACGAGAGGTCCGTGTCTCTCGGTGTACGCGCTGCCATCTAGCTGCTGCAACTTCCAGCTTCAATTGCTCAACTGTCCGGTAAAGACTAGGTTGTGTTTCCCCGAGATTGAAGCCACGAAGCCACTGTCATCGACGCGATCGACGTTGGTTGTATTTTGACTCAACTTCCATCAAGATGAGATCAACTTCCAACGAGGCAGAGCCATCTGCTCCTCCAACGGAGACTTCGCCCCTTCTTTCCGAGCCTCATACTCAAAATGGTGTTTTGGGCAATGGCAATGATGTCGAAGATGGCAGCGTCAACACCATCCCGAACAAGCATCCCATGGCTGACAAGATGCACATCTTGCTTCCTGCCATTGGTGTTGGAGTAAATCACCATCCCTAACCAAGAGGCTTATAAAAGAGAATCCACGCTAACAAGACGTCTTTTATCCAGGTCTATCTCGTGGCCGTCGACCAGCTCCTTGCAGTTGCGACATATGCCAGGATTGGCAGCGAGCTCAATGCGTTGAACAACACAAGCTGGATCGCCACCGCGTAAGCACGAACCTCACAAACTTGCTTCCTAGCCTCTCAAGTCAGTGATCAAAACTTCTAACATTAAAAAAAAACCGCAAGATACTTCCTCACCCTCACCAGCTTTCAGCCTCTCTACGGCAAGCTCAGCGACATTTTCGGTCGCAAGGCGTGCCTCTTGTTTGCATACGCCGTCTTTGGCATCGGCTGCTTGGGGTGCGGCTTGGCCCGGAGCATGACGCAGCTGTGCGTTGCTCGAGCAGTTGCTGGTATTGGCGGAGGAGGAATGAGTTCAGTGGTGTCGATTCTACTGTCTGATATTGTTCCGCTGCAGGAACGCGGCGTCTGGCAGGGCTATATCAACGTGGTATACGCTGCTGGAACTTCGACTGGAGGTCCCTTGGGAGGTCTTTTTGCCGATTCTCTCGGGTGGCGATGGTAAGTTTGATCGCAGTGTGAAGATCCGAACATTCACTAACCTCGGTCTAAATAGGTCATTCATGATTCAGGCCCCCATGTGTCTAGTAGCCTGGGTCTCGGTATACTTCATCCTCGACCTCGAGCCTCCTTCAAAGGACCACTGGGTCTCAAAAGTTGGCCAGATCGATTTCCTAGGCGCCTTCACTCTCGTGCTCGCCGTCATTTCCCTCCTGACCGGCCTAGATTCCGGTCCAAACTTTGGGTGGTCCAACCGCATCACCATCGTCTCCCTCAGTCTTACACCCGTCCTATTTGCCCTGTTCTTGTTCGTGGAGATGAGAATTGCCAAGCACCCGTTCGCCCCGGGCCACGTCATCCTCAGCCGAGACTTGCTTCCCTGCTACATCGTCAACATGTGCGGCATGGCGGGCGAAATGGGCGTCATGTTCTTTGTGCCGCTGTACTTCCAGGCCGTCGAAGGACTGAGCGCCACGGCGAGCGGCTCAATGCTCGTTCCCGCAACCATAGCCGGCGTGTTGGGGTCTCTCGTGGGCGGCTGGGTGATCAAGAGGACAGGCAAGTTTTACCGGCCGACGGTGATTAGCTACGGCATCCTGTTCTTGTCAATGGTGCCTTTGATTGTTTCGGTCTGGTTTCGCTCACTGATTGGCTCTAATACGGGATTCGTCCTTTCGGCTGTTGGTAACGGAGGTGGTAAGTTTCAATTTCCCTTCACGTCGTCCTTCTCGTCCGCCCCGCCCCCACGCATCTCCATCAATGCTACCTTGACATTGTGCTTCGTATGCTATCTATCTGCATATGTATGTATTTTGTCATACTGACCGAGACTAACATGGATCAATCTCCAAGGCATTACCACCGTTCTCGTCGCTCTGCTTGCCAATGCGGCCACCGAGGACACTGCAGTGGCCATCGCCTGCTCGTATCTCTTCCGCTCACTGGGCTCCAGCGTCGGCGTCGGCGCCAGTTCCGCCGTGCTCCAGCAGGTTCTGAGGACACAACTCGCTTCCCGTATTGGAGACGATGCCGGCCAGGTTGAAGAAAAAGTGCGCCAGAGTCTGGACGCCATCAAACATCTGCCGCCGCCAGTGGCCGAACAGGTGCGGTCGAGCTACCAGACGGCCATTGTTGGGTCTTTTGTGCCGTCACTTCTGTTTGGCCTTGTGTGTTTTACGGCTACGTTTTGGATCAAGGAGAAGTCACTCAAGCGGTAGATTCAAGCAGAGGATCGGAGGGAACACTGGATGTATCAAGGTGTCATCTTGTCTCGTTGCCAGTTGCATATACCTCTGTATGCCCCAGCCATTGTATATACGCATATAGGTACCTGTATATAGATGCCAACCAAGGCAAGGTAACACTCGTACATGCATATGCTCGTCAAAACGCTTAGCAACATCTACCTTGGACATTTAATCTGCACCAAGACTCAAGAAGTCTCATTACATGTAGATAAGGAAACACAAGGCCAGCTTCGTGTTTATCGTGTCCACGACGTAACGCATGACCAATTATAATGATAATCTTTCACAACAGCTCGATGCTACCTCGATATCAATCACAAAAAGCCCGGATTGCATGCAACGCCCGCAGTCACACGCAAAAAAAAAAAAAATACGAAGCACGAATATTTCCAATGTCCTACCCAATTCTACTCCGAAAACCGGTCCAGTGTTATTTCAACTTCCTGCAGTGCTACGGTACTATTCCCAGCAGCAGATCAACACGGACCATCGCCAAGCGGTTGCGCCCTTGGACTCCTCTCTTCAAGGATTCCTTTATGCCCAGGTGTGCATTTTCCCTCTCTGTTATGTCCCCGGCACAGGTTTGTTATGTCCCCGCCCTAGACGCTGGCCCGTACTGTAGATGCAACCCTGACGTCGGATATTGGCTCCCTGTATGAGTTCCATTTGTTTTTTTGGCTCTCGTGCTGCGCGATTGCGCAATGCTCTGGCCAGGGGGGGGGTTCGGTCAATGAGCTTTTGAGAGATGCCTCTTGGCAAAGCTCGGCTCTCTAATCTAAGAGGTTCACGGTTAAGATTGACATGTAGGCTTTTTTGGTGTTGGTTGTGTTTAGACTATTCTTCGTCGTGTTTTTTTTTTTTATCTTGGGGCTTTTTTATTTTTCATCTTTTTTTTTTCTCCTTCGCCCGCCCTACTACGGGCTACTCTAAGCCAGAAAAAACAACCTTAAAAGGTCGGGTGCGTAATCTTAATATTATGCTTCAATGGCATCATGTCACTAGCGTCACCTCAGACAAAACTTCATCAACATGCAATCACTTAGACTACCGTGTTAAGGCACCCAATTTGGTTGCACGTTAATTCTGCTATACGCTACTAAACAAGGCAATGCAAGGGACTTCTGAACTCAATCCTCTCCCCTTTGTTTCCCTTTTCAACCTCTTCATCTCCTCTTGTTTACCCATTTTCGCATCTTCAAGCCCATCCGTCCATCCAATCTTTCGCCCTCTTATCTACATGATCTATTAGTTGCCTAATTGGGTGCCCACCACCGCAGCGTCCGCCCCCTTCGATTCGAAATGCTCGGCACTTTCGAGCTCTCAAAACGCCATCAATTCTACCAAACTACTACTATACCCAGTACCTATAGTACCAATAGGCAGCAAAGCTCCCAGCGGCAAACAATCGAAACCAGGTAGATCGGGCCCAGTTACCCCGCGCCCGCTCAGATTTTGTTCCGGGCGCCCTTTTTTATTATCGTGAAAAGCTTCCCATTCATGCATGTGTTTTTTTTTTTTTGGCACTCGAGCTTAGACGGGTCTTGGCGCCTCGATCCAGAAGGTCGCAAGGCGTGCGATGGCCGTTGCGACCCAAGATCGAGGTTCGGAAGCAAGTGACGGATACGGCAGGCTGTTTGAGCTTCGACACTGCCGGAGCCGGCCGATCGCTTGTGATGATGAGCATTGGAGGTTGAAGCGCTTATCTCTCTCTACCTGGGTAGGGAGTAGTCTCTTATACACCGGACGGAGGTGTTTCGGCTTCGTGGTTTGACCGTGCTCCTATTAGCTGGCAATGGTTTACTTTTTTCTTATTACAGTACCTTATTTACTTAGTTTCAGTGTCATTGGATGGGTAGTTTAGTTCTGTGTGTAGCATTCTCATCATCAAGTGCCTGGCCTTGTCCTACCTGTGTCCAATCACGTATTTCTCGTCCTGGTCTACCCGGTGCGTCTCCAGCCAGTAGCATCTTGACGTGCAGTGCCATCATCATCGCCTTCTCTTTCTGGCCTCCTCGTCTCTCAGCCTGGATCTTTTGCGAGCCCAAGCCATAATCTCCCTTTAGGAAGGAGATGCTCCATGCGGTGCCATCACTCGGTCCTCGGTCTGCGTTTGGGGAACCCATCCAACGTCGTAGCATTGGGCAGGGCTGGCTAAACTTGTCGTGGGCTGTGCTTTGATCTGCATGTAACTGGTTTATCATGTCTGCCTCGCGTACCAGATCATCTTGGAGCTGCAAACATATATAGGTGACGGCTCCCCCTCGATTCAAGCTGGAGAAATCATCACAGCTTCACCACTTGAATTCCATCCAAAAACCCTCTTCTCTCTACCTCAGAAGATCCAAAGCTCCATCACTCCGCAATGGCTCCCGTTTCCCAGTTTGTCTCAGCTCTGATGCTGCCCGCTCTCGCTCTGGGAGCTGCCATCGAGCCCCGTGGCGCTGATATCGTCGGAGGAACCGCCGCTGCTCTCGGCGAGTTCCCCTACATCGTCTCTCTGTCCACCCAGGGCTCTCACTTCTGCGGTGGTGTTTTGGTCAACGCCAACACCGTCATCACTGCTGCTCACTGCTCTGTCGACTTCTCTGCCTCGCAGGTCAAGGTCCGCGCCGGCACTCTTGTGAGTTGGCCCCTCCTCCTCTTCATCCTCCTATCATGTCAGCTTTAGGAGTGCAGTTACCTTGCTTGATACTAATCTTGTCTTCATCGCAGACCTGGGCTTCAGGCGGCACCCAAGTCGGCGTCTCCAGGATCATTGTGAACCCCTCCTACAACTCACGTACCACCGACTTCGACGTTGCTGTCTGGAAGTTGGCCAGCTCCATCCCTGAGAGCTCCACCATCGGCTACGCCACCCTTCCCGCTGCCGGCTCTGACCCTGCTGCTGGTTCCATCGTCACCACCGCTGGCTGGTAAGCATATCCCATACTCTGATATATCACGCGGAGCGCCTGGCAATCGATCTGAAACTCAACACTAACTGGTTCAACAGGGGCACCACCACCGAGGGCAGCTCGTCTCTCCCCGCCAGGCTCAACAAGGTTTCCGTCCCCGTCGTCTCTCGTGCCACCTGCCAGGCCGAGTACGGCAGGTCTGCTGTCACCACCAACATGTTCTGCGCCGCTCAGGCCCAGGGTGGCAAGGACTCTTGCCAGGGTGACAGCGGCGGCCCCATCGTTGATGCCAACGGCGTCCTCCAGGGTCTCGTTTCTTGGGGCAATGGCTGTGCTGAGGCCGGCTTCGCTGGTGTCTACAGCAGACTCGGCAGCCTTGTTAGCTTCGTCAACGCCAACCTTTAAGCGCCTGTTTGGAAAGAAAGAAAGAAAGAAAAAACCAACAAAAAAAATCTCGTCAAAGCGGCAGAGATCCTGTTCTCTTCTTGGTTGGTTAGTAGGCTGAGAGTGTGGGCAACTTTGGTTTTACAGCAGCAGCCTTGGCCGAGTAGCTAGGGTATATAGGATTTGAATTCACAAAAAAAAAGCTTATCTCACTGAAAAGACAAGGCTCCTGAATTAGGGGGCGGTAGCACCAGTCCACATGATTCCTCTTTGTGCTTCCCGACAATATAACATTAGATCACCCTGTCCCCTTAGTAAAAGTTCATTTCAATAGATGCGGTTACACGGTCTTTCAACTCAATTGCGAGAGCAAAAGAAAAATTGACTTATCATTAATTTTGTGGATAAAAATGATGTCGTAATATTGACAAATTGTTTTATGAAGGAAATGTATCGTACTATCTCGTCATTTCCCCTTAGCTGGCGGGGTTGGCATGGGCTCCATCCCAAATATGTCGCCAGATCTAAGGGGGTCTCTTTCATCCAATTCCGCCGGCGCTTCTCCGAACAGGAACGCATTCTTTTCCCGGCTAGCATTGTTGTTACGCCTCTTCTGTGAAGCTGTAGGTGATTTGCCTACTGGAGGCGTTTGTGGCGGCCCAGACTCTTCCGGCTCCAGCATCCATGAGAATGAAGACTGTGCTATAGTCGATCTAGCAGGTATAGATATAGTCACTGGAGCCTTGAGTTGGCCTTCACTCAACACCTCCTCTTTCTTGGAATCATTGCTTGTGGCTTCTGCTGCATTAGAGAGTGGGTCTTGGATTTCTTTAGGCTTCTTTACATCTCCCAGCTTTGTGTTTGCTTTCGAGGGGTTCGGGCCGGACACGTTGGTGCCAGATCCGGGTGATAAAGGTTGGTTTTCTTTTTCAGGTGGTGACGCTTTCTTGATTTCCTTGTCCCCTCTTTTCTCAGCCGCTAGTTGAGCTTCTTCAGAGGTAGGGGAGTCTGCGGTGGGAATGTCCATCGTGGCGTCTTGCAGATATATTTGCACAAATTGGACTTTGGCTGCTGCAACTTCAATTATGCCAAGGCTTCGAGCCTTGTCTTCAAGATTGGACAGGGATAGCGCCCTCAAGCTCATGACGGTCTCCTCGAGTAAACTTGCCAGTTGGTCGTTCCGTCTCTGCATAACAGCCAATGCTTTGACAGCGCCATCGTCAGCCAGAACAACTCTCGGATACGGTGAAGAAAGGCCTTCGTTTAGGCCTTGCATGTTTCGTTTTATTTCGCCAACGGCATCTCGTAACGCCTGATTGATTCCCAGCTTTTCACTCTTCTCCAGCACGCCCTGGATCATATTTTCCACTCCACCCTGCTGCTGAAGAAATTTTGATGGCGAGCGGATTGGTGACTTCAGTCCAAACCCCTTTTTGCGAATCGAATCGAGTCCGGCAAGGGGTGAGCTGACGCGTTCAGCAGGCTCGGCGCTCTTTTGGACATTGGGAAGTCTTCCCGAATATTTCTTGATCAGGGTTGCGCCTCCATGTGCATTCATGTGATCCCGGAGATAGAGTGCATCATCGACGAACGTATGAGGTCCGTGCAACTGATTGGGTGGTGGGTACTTGAGAAGTAGTTGCAGGCAAACAGAATAATCAGATTCTAACACTGGGTTGAAATGGTCAGAATGACGAAGTGAGGGTTTGTATGAGCAAGCAAAAGATACTCACGTTGCCAGCGGATTCGCAGCAGCATGGCGCAACAAACGAGGTCTATAAGGTCTAACGAAGGATCGACGGCCAAAATTGTATCCCAAAGCACAAGAAACTGGTTAAAAGGAAATTCTCGGCTGAATAAAAGTCGAATCCAGCGGCTAACAAACAGATTAGTACCCATGTAAAGCAAAAAGGGTGACAAGCATTGAAAGATAACCGTCTCGCTCACATTAAAAATATCTGGGGGAGTATCTCTATACTTGCGAGATGTGCTGCTAGTTCTGGGTCAACCTTTTGTAAGCAGACTTCGTGAATGAATTTGCTCCGCTCGACAATGGCAGAGCTTTGCTCGGGAAATCGAGGTTGTGATGGACCGTCAGTCGGCGGGCTTGAGTTGGGCACATCTTTGACCTCGTAAAATGACTGAGCGTGCTCCATCAACTGAGAAAATAAGATGAAGGCATCGTGCTCAACGAATGACTGGTCGATTGTTTCGAGCATCAGTTCCTCGAGGTTATCCTCGTCATCACTGGCGGTAGTCGATTCTCGATCCAGGGCATCCTGCTCGACAACGTGTAGTATAGGAGCCAGAAGTTCATGCATCCCCTGTCGATAGCCACCCCTACTTGGATTCACCTTGCAGTAGACAAAGAGGATGTCCAGAATCATGCGCTGCATATAGTCTTCGTGATAGTTTGCTTCATCGGGCAGCCTTTGGACGTCCTGCAAGATTTCCGCTCTGGTAACTTCGTCTTCGCGGACAGTATTCCAAGGGGACTTGAAAGTATTAGAGTTCATTGAGTCTATGTCCAGGTCGAAGAGGTTCCCACTCACTTTTGGGTCATCAGCCAAAGGATCAATGGTGAGCTCTGTGAGAGCCTCAGGGTGATTTATGAACTTGAGAAAGTGGTCACGACGTTCATTGTATGACTCTCTCTTCTCGCGGAGAGACCGAGACCAGCCTATCTTAGTATTGTCACCATCTTTGGACAAGAGAAAGATCTTTGCGCAGCAAGTCAGCATCAGACCACCATCTGCAGAGACCGATGTTATATGCGCAAGGTAAGCAGACTCACCTTCCAGCAGACAGAACGACAGCCAGATAAGCACGGGCTCGAGGGGCCATTATGGCGGACAGCATTCTGTAAGTCCTCAACGCTTGAGCAGTGCGTCTGAGTTGCCTGCCATCTCGCTCTTCAGGAGCAGTCAGTTGGCGGACCTTGACATTTCTTGTGAGACATGATGCTCACTGTGTCTCTGTGAGAGATCTCATCCTGATGAGGGTCCTGGCGAGTAAGTCTAAGCGGTCAAACTCATCGACATGGCACGCTCACTTCCAGCTCTCAGGTGAGTCTATTGCCGCATCGGGAATACCAGATAAGTGAATATTACGCAGTCCACGATATCTCACAGACAGTTGGAAGTGAGAAGATTGAGGGCTGTGGAAGTACGGCGCCAGAGCCCCGCACCTGGCCAGCTCGGATGTACAGGTACATGCATACTCGGCTGCCACGGATCGCTGTAGGCGGGTGGCTAGCGCGACATCCCGGCTTCGGCACCCTAATGCCGTGCCCCTAAAGGGCCTGCAGCGGCGTTTTGTGCCTAGGTCCTGCTACTTGCGCTGTCCAGCCGCGTCCTCCGCTTACTCAACTCTACGTCTATACGGGGGCTATTCTCATCTCAAGCACCTATACATACTACTATACAGACTGCTCGCATATGTCAATACAAGCAGAATCGTGTCCATCTCTGCAGCGATACCCAGACGCAGCTGTTTGTCTCTTCTCATAAAGTTACAAAGAGCATGCATCTTGAGATCCGCCAGCATGTCGGCTGATTTGTTTGCCGAATTTGCCAATAGCAATCCGCCACCTCCTCAACAACCACCAATTCCGCCAGCCGCAAGTCAGCAGAGCAAGCCCGCGGCAAGGGACCCCTTTAGCTTTGGCTTCACCGATTTCACAACAGCAGCAGCTTCACCAGTTGAGAGATGGCCTCCCATCCAATCTCAGCCAAGCAGGGCTATCAATTGGGCCGCCGCGACACCAGCACCTCCGCAGACTGCACCAGCACCGGCACCAGCACCACCGGCGTTTGATGATGCTGATGACGATGGCTGGGGGGACTTTGAGACGGCAAAGCCTGCTCCGGCAGCATCTGCAATCAACAAGTCATCCGATCCATTTGGGGCCCTTCCCGCCCCGTCCAAGGAGCCTCAGACCAGGAATCGGCCGTTCCGGGCTCCCTCCATCGACATCATGACCAATACCTTGGTCGACGTCCAAGCAAATAGGTCCAACAACACCGGTCCGTCATGGAACTCAACGCCAAGCAATGCAAGGTTCTCTATGCCTTCAGCACCGACAGGTTCCAACGTGCTATTCGATGCCGATGATTTTGAGCTCCAGGAACCGGATTTGGATGAAGATGATGATGAATTTGGTGATTTTGAAGCGGTGGCACCAGCACCGAAGCAAGCAAAGCAAAGCTCCACATCCAAACCGGCATCTTCCTTCAGCTCTGCGCCGTTGCTAGATCTGCTCTCTCTTGATGAACCTCCGCGACAACAGCAGCCTGTTGAAAAAGTGGCTCACAAGCAACCTCCTCCCCAGCTCCTGGGTGCACTGAGCTTTGGGGCAGCATCCACACTCCCTAACCCACCAAAGTCGCCATCGTTTCAGGAGCGGAATCCCTTCCCAGATCTTGGCATCAAGACAACTGCACCAACGGCTGATGCTGTCAAGAAAACGCGCGATGCTCCAAAGTCAGCAACACCAGTAACCGCATGGCCAACAACCAAACACAAAGCAAAACCATCAATTGCCAAGGATTTCGATGATGATTGGGACGCATGGGATGATACGGCCAGCGGAGCCGTCAATAAGAAAGATGTTACTCACAGCATTCCTCAGTCTGAGAACTGGGAATGGGACAGTGGTGATGATGGTGAATCTAACGCCATCAAGGCAAACGACCATGACCCTCCCCCAACCAATGTTCCACCACCGTCCGTCATCTTATCTGCCTTTCCCAATCTCTTCAGCTCAGCGAATGTCTTTTTCAAGCCAATGTCTGGTCATAGTGCCTCTATCAGACAGCAGGTTCTTTCTAACCCCAAGGCCATCCATTTTCTCCAGGGTTATATCCTCCTTGCCACGACTGCTGCTCGAGTAATTGCAGGCCGCAAGCATAGGTGGCACAGGGATAAGATTCTGGCGAAAAGCATGTCCATCTCGGCCGCTGGTAGCAAGGGTATGAAGCTCGCGGGTGTCGACAAAACCCAGTCAGCTCGAGAAGACAGAGAGGCAGCAGATGTGGTAGCTGTGTGGCGTGAATACGTGGGACGCCTACGATCTGCCGTTGCGGCCGCCAACACCGAGGGTAAGATCAGTCTCAAGGTGCCTGAGCTGAGCGAGAATATGCTGGTCCAAACTGCAAAGATGGTGCCCACCGGGCCTAAACCATGTATAATATGCGGGCTGAAGAGGGAAGAGAGGATATCAAAGGTTGATTACGACATAGAGGACAGTTTTGGGGAGTGGTGGGTTGAGCACTGGGGCCACAGAGCTTGTAAGAACTTTTGGATAGAACATGAGCAGAAATTACGACAGCGTTAACGGATAAGTTATGCGGTAGTGTTTCGCTGTTCATCATATTTGGATAGAATTGTGCAGCATAATATTGATAGCATTTACCTACCTAGTAGAAACAAGAAGATGAAAGGATACATTGCCCGTGTTAGATTATCTGCAATGTGCCACGCGTGTTCAATACATGTACCTTGGAATACCCGCCAATCGATATCGAGGCACCTCCGGAAATCGCGGATTCTTTACCGGCATCGTCCCATTGTGATGTGATGGGACAAGGGGACCGAGTCCAATCATTACAACGTAACGTTTGGCCATTTGGAATTGAACGAAAGAAGCCCTAATGAGCAGCATTAAAATATCACCCCCGCCTTCGGTAAGGCATCAGAATGCACAAGCGCTCAGCAGTCGAGAACTATTGGCGGTATAGCAAACAGCGGCTCCTCCGCTGGCTTGCACACGTTTGCAATGATTCGCAGCATCCAGATAGCATTATTCCAGCTCAGAGGTATTCCACAATCACTGTTGATTCCAATCAAAACATCCAAGACAAGAAAAAATCCAGTCACAGTGTCAGTCATGATGCCTTTTGACCAAAAGCCGCTTGTGCTCTCGCCCATATCCACTCCAGGCTCGACAGCAGGCGTACAGTAGAGTTTGCTGCACTGCAAACACCCTCCAGCGAAACGATTGGCGTAGGTGTAGGTGTGCATGTAGGCTCTGCAGCTGTGAATGGTGGCTCATACGGCACCAAGGGGGAGTAGCTGGAAGAGGTCTCGACGCTGATTGCCCGTAAGAGAAGAAGGACAGGGGTTGGGTGCGCCATTATCAGGTAGGCTTGCTGCAGTGAGCGCAGTGCATGAAAGTCATTGAAGGGGGGGAAACCGGGATCTCGTTGAATATCGATTACTAACTTGTGTCACACCGGCAACCCGACAGAACATCTCTGGATTGAAAACAGCTACAGGGTGGGTGAGCTGCGTAGGTATATACAAGTATCTGCGGAGTATACTTGGGTATTCAAAAGGGACTAGGAAATAATAAAGATGACTGTTGTTTGGGTAAATTGCGTTCCATTGGTAATTGCGATACCCGCAATGGTATGCACGCACCTCCACGGGTGTTGACGATGGTGTTTAAAAACTCCCATGTGAAAACGCATGTACTGTACGAGCACGTACAGCAGAACGCGGATATGCCAAAATCTGGGGGGGCGCATTTACACACTCCATTTCCGCTTTAGGCAAGCGAACCTAGAGACCTCGCTGAGAAAAGCTTGCATCGCGTGGCAGATGGTACCAGAAAAAGACCCTGGCGTACCTCCCCGGCCGCATGCACGCCGGCAAGAACCAAGGTACAGGATAGGTAGTGTCAGGTACTCACACTTCCTTTTCCAGCACCTCCCCGGCCCACCTGGCGGCAACAATGAAGGGCACGAAAGACAAGAGAAGCTCACGCACGAGGTACCCTGTCTGCAAAATCCTGCACGTCTGGACATCCATCGTGCTGAATCCGATCAGAGCATGGCCGTTCCTGGCGCACCTTTCGTCTGCGATCCAATTTTTTCGCTCTATCCAATGTTGTCTTCCCATTCCTTTCTGCTTTGAGGTTTAGCAGGTCCAAACGCTCCAGCGCACTGGGCCTGCTAGTGCACGGCAGTGACAGCTTGCAGCGGCGACAGCGCCTACTTTGCTGCTGTACAGTGCTGTAAAGCCAGCCTAGCGGTTGCTTGTGCTTGTTCTTCCCATGTGTCCGGCGCTTTCTTTCTCCCTCCAGTCCTTCACCTCTGCTCCCCACCTGACTTTCTCTTCGGCTCCCCCTCCAAAGCTCTCTCTCTCTCTCTCTCTCTCACCTTGCCTCTCCAATCTCAATCCCCGTCTTCTCTCGCTCTCTTCCTCTTCTCACATCTCCTCACCTCTTCCCGCCTTCTACCCTTTTCTCGCACTCTCGCCCCCCGACGAATTATTTCCCCCCAAACCTCCATCTTCCGCCTCCTCTTGCGCACTTCCTTGCCCATCGAGACCGGACCTTGTCGCGTTTCTCGCTGCACCTTCGCCCTCTTACGCCCACTCGCCTCTCGACCCCGCCAAATCCCTGCCAACACCACACACAAAAAAAAGAGTCTGGCAACGCATTCGACGCCTTGCCAACTTCTTACGGCCGCCTCGCTCCCCGTCATCCTCTCGACGTTCGCGCACATTCCAGCTTCTAGGGAAATCACTCGGTAAGTACATCTTTGCTCTCGCAGTCATCTCTAGTGATGACCTTCGGCCGCATTTCAAATCCCGTTGCCGGTGCGGCTGTCCCGCATCTCGCCATCGACAGGCGGCCAACGTAGTCGACGCAGGTTGCGTCACAGATGGGCCAGCTATGCGCGCGCCGCCTTGCGCGCGACCTGCGTGGAACTTTGGGCGGCTTTATCTTGAACACAATCTTATCGTGGGCTTTGGAACTGACATTTGCCGGTTAGTTTTGAGAACGGTTCTTGATTCCCTACCTTGACATCAAACCTTCCGTCGCATCCACCTCTCTCCAGTGCCTTCCTCACCCCCACCACTACTCAACAATCATGTCGGCTTCTCAAGATATGCTTTCGTCCAATGGCGGCGATATTGTGGACTCTTTGGACCAGCTGAAGATGGACGAGCGACTTGGCCCCGACGGCGAGCTCGCCCCTAAGACGGACGAAGAATATGCCCAGGCCCAGCTGACTTTGCGCGCCATTGTTTCCTCCAAGGAAGCTGGTGTGATTATTGGAAAGGGCGGCAAGAATGTCGCTGACCTCCGTGACGAAACTGGCGTAAAAGCCGGTGTTAGCAAGGTCGTCCAAGGCGTTCACGACCGTGTCCTCACCATCACCGGTGGCTGTGATGCCATATCGCGAGCCTACGCCATCGTTGCCCGAGCTCTCCTCGAGGGTGCACCCGCTGTCGGCATGGGCGGCGTCATCCAAAGCAACGGCACTCACCGTACGTATTCATTCTCTTGACAATTACTACACTTGTTAACATGAGGGAAACCGTTATATAGCTATCAAACTACTCATCTCCCACAACCAAATGGGCACCATTATCGGTCGACAAGGTCTCAAGATTAAGCATATCCAGGATGTTTCCGGCGTTCGCATGGTTGCGCAAAAGGAAATGCTGCCTCAGTCAACCGAGCGTATCGTCGAGGTTCAGGGCACTCCCGAAGGCATCCAGCGAGCCATCTGGGAGATTTCCAAGTGCTTGGTCGATGATTGGCAGCGGGGCACCGGCACTGTGCTTTACAACCCTGTCGTCCGCACTCAACCCTCTGGCTCCGGAAGCCTGGGTGGTGGCGCCAGCTATGGCAACGGCGGCGGTCGGGGTGACTACGGAAGCCCTCGCGTGATGCGCACCGGAAATGGGGCCGACTTTAGCAACGGAGGCTCACGACCATTCAGCCGTCGCTCAGATTCCGACGCAGCGAACCGCGGCCCTCCAACCCACGACGAGAATGGCGAGGAGATCCAGACTCAGAACATCAGCATCCCCGCTGACATGGTTGGATGCATCATTGGCCGTGGCGGCAGCAAGATTAGCGACATTCGGAAGACTTCCGGAGCTCGCATTTCTATTGCCAAGGTAAGCCTCGATGATGAGTGCCAAAGCCTTGGTTCTTCCCCTCATAACACTAAACTAACCATGTCCTAGGCCCCCCATGACGAGACTGGCGAGCGCATGTTCACCATTATGGGCACTGCCAAGGCCAACGAGTCTGCACTTTTCTTGCTCTACGAGAACCTGGAGGCTGAAAAGATGCGTCGCAGTCAAATGCAAGACCAAGAGTAAAATCAAGGACTCTCTAATAATGAGCACACTGGCTGTTGCTTCATGTTTCTCGTACCACTTGTGAATGAGCTGGATTTGGGCTGGATTTGGCGGATTAAGGGCGTCCAGATCTGGTTTGCCGCAAGGCTCCTCTTTCCCCCGCTGGAACAGGGACAGGATTTTTGATGATTATGGTCCATCACCAAAAGCATTCAACGCAGCCACCGTCCTGTTTTTGTTGCGATTCCCCTCTTGTGCCCTTTCGTTTTCCCCGTTCCCCCTTTCCTTTCCTCTTGTTACCTTCTAGTTATGCTTTCTCACGTGTCATTTTTATCCCCACTGGCCCGCCATCAGAACGATTCTATCTCTACTACGTGGGTTGATTCTCGCACCGACCATGAGGCCACCATGCACTTTTGCTACAGCAGCTCAGCTTCCTCCGAAGATGACGACTACGCGAGCAGGGCTCATTCGGCGTCTGCAATTCGATACGATACGGATTCATCAATTTTCCTTACCACCTCAACCTTCCGACTCGCACGCCTTTGCTTTCCCCCCTCAACCACGAAGCTGTGGCCGCACCTGTCTGCCATAAAAACTGACATTACTCTTATCTCACACCTCCTTCCGAGATTAATGGAATCAAGACATTGATACAGCACGAGTCGAGTTTGCAGCTTGGGACGACCAGTGCCGCTTGTGCGCGCTGTGACCTCGCTCTTCCGCGGCTACTCTTATCATGATCACTCTCTTCTTAACTCTTTGCCTCCGCGATCCTTGTGTCATCTTTACTCCGGCAAAACAAAACAAATTTTACCTTACCAACCGAAACCACGCCAACCCTCTTACTTTAACCCTCGCTACGCGACGATCGATATGTAAACATGGCGTTAACAGACATATCGTCTTTCCACTCATGCCCTCTATCCTCGCCGCTGTTGTCTCTGACAGTGGATGACGACTCTCTCTTTCTCTCTTTTTTCAAGCAGGAATCAGGCAAATACCCCGTAGCATGCACGAAAGGCATGGTATGCGCATGAAACAGATCTGGGATTGGGGATGTCTAGATAACAGTAGTGCATCTAGTCAGTCGTTGAGCAAGAGACTGAAATATATTTGGTCGCAAGCTGGTTTGCCTGTGACTTTTTTGTTGATTAATCTGTGCAGTTTGTATCATGATTGCTTCGTACCATGTCTCATCCCTCTGAAGGTATTCCTCCAGTAATATCCAAT